CCCCAAAACCCCAAAACCCCAAAACCCCAAAACCCCAAAACCCCAAAACCCCTATATTTTCCTGAATATTTAAATTAATTTGAACAAAATGGATAACTTTGAGCTGAAAGATCAATTTGACTCCTTGGACATTCATAAAGAAGAAAGTAAGTTTACTTGTATAACTCAACGTAGCTGAAATGGAAAGGAATATTGACCAAAACTCTATTGAGCCTGAAGACTCAGACCAAAATGATGCACCTCAAGAAGGTATGCCTAGTGAGTAATCCCATAGAAAATAAGGGCGAGGAGGAGGACCCTGAACTGTTGGATAAAGAGTCTGTTTCCATCTTCTTCAACCAGATTGGCATAAGTGATTATACAAAGACTATCCTGATCGAGAATGGGTTTGATAACTTTGAGTCTCTATCCTATCTTTCAAAGGATGTTCTGAGCCAGCTTAAGATTAAGAATAATACCGATATTGATAGCTTACTTAACTCCCTCTCGAGTATTGCAGAGTGATACAGAAATTCAGCTTCAATGAAGGAGGCATTAGGAGCTTATGAAAAATGAATTCCAGGAACAGTGATTACCCCTAAGTTATTGATGAAGTGCGCTACCAATATTAAGCAGAAGAGAAAGGATCACAAAGGTAGGCTGATTGCTGAGCATTTCTTACCTGGCATTACTCATCTCTCCCTGGAGAGTAGAAACATTACTAAGATTGAGAGTCTTGATATGTGCACGAATCTAAAATAACCTATATTTGTATGAGAACAAGATTTCCAAGATTCAAGGACTTGAGAACTGCGTTAACTTGACAATTCTTTCTCTTGAAAGGAACCTCATCAGCAAGATTGAGGGTCTGGAAAATCTGAAGAAACTACAGAAGCTTTATCTTGAGAACAATTGTATTAATAGACTTGAAGGCCTTCATTCTAACTCAAATTTGGAAGAAATAAACCTAAACAACCAAAATTTGTCCCCTGGACAAGAATTTACATTTGATGACTTATCATTATGAGCTGTGTGCTCGAGCTTGGTGAGGCTAGACCTCAAATCTTGCCAGATTGTCGACCCAAAACCACTATTCTATCTCGAAAGGTTAGATGTACTTAACCTGAAGGATAACCAGATTTCAGAGTTAGAGGCTGTGTCTCCCTTTCTCTCAACGATCAGGTACTTGAGAGTACTCGATATGAGAGGGAACCCACTAGCCAAAATTCGAAAATATCGAGATCAAATCATTATGATTGGGCTTAGCATTCAAACTCTTGACGATAAGAAAGTGACTGAGCATGAGAGGCAATATCTCCTCACTCTGGAGATGAAGAAAAAGGGTATCAAAGTCCCTACTAAAGAACCCCAATTCGAAATGGCAGGCCAAGGAGGATACGGTGGTAGAGGAGGCAGATGGTTTAGAGGACGAGGAGGCTTTGGCCAGCCAACTGGAGGCAGAAAAACTGTCCAAAAGTTACCAAAAGGGAAAAAGATGACAAATTTAGGCGATAGACCACCTATCAAAGCAGGCCTTTCTATTGTGGGGAATGAGATGGAGATCATGCATCCTCTCGACGAGAAGGAAAATCAGTTAGAACAACCAGGAAGCAAGGAATCTACTCATTTCCAACCCCCTGATCAGTACCCAACATATGAGGAGTTAATGAAGATGGCTAGTCTTCCTTCAAGAGTAGAGATAAGTAAAAAGTAATTCAATATTTTTTTGTTTCAAAGGGGTTTTGGGGTTTTGGGGTTTTGGGGTTTTGGGG